GATATTCAATCTTCTTTTTATTTATAGTCTCAATATGCCAACCTCTTTGGCTAATATATTTGTAAATCAGAATGTTTCTTTTGAGACTTACTACAATATTAATGTCATGAATAATTTCATTCATTCGGGTAGTAACAAATTAGTTCTCTCAGAGCTCTTAACTGCTTTTGTACTACAAGATCTTTTGTCACACCATCCATATAATGAATGTCTCCTTCACAAAGAGAATCATATCATAATAATTATCATGTTCAAAATCATCATAAGCAAAATAATTTCTTACTTTAATTTCTTATAATAACTTTCATAAGGCTTGACAATTTATTTTTAGCGTATCACATATATGCGACCAATGATATATTCATGTAACTACACACTAATATTCATTATCTTTCTTTGTCTCAAACCTCCCTTAGAGGTGAGTTGTAATATTTATTCAACCATGCACAAATATATTATTATGCATAATCTTTATCACATATATATTTTCATATTCATTTTCAGGAATGAGTATGCAATCTCAATGTTTATCATAAGTCACAATCTCTTCAAAGAATTTCTCCCTTTTTATAATTACCATAGTGATAACTATTATTATTTTGGCCTTTCGCTCGCTCACATTCATTGGTCAACCACTTGTCTTTATTTAGACTTATCATGCACTGCTATCACATTCACTTCAAGAATGGAGCAAATCAAGTGTGACAAGCTTCATGCTTTTTCATGAAAAATACATTATTTTTCTTTAGTTATTATTATTATCAATATAGTGCATTAGGACTCAAACCCAATGCCTTACCTATATAAAGGCATGCTAGGCCATAATGCGTTGGAACTTGAATCCAACGTCTTTTCATCAACATAGTGCGTTGGGACTTGAACATATGGTCTTACCCTCAATCTTTGGCATAATAGGCCAAAATTCACTAGGAATTGCACTCGAGCCTTTAAAATATTATTATTTCATAATTATAGGTATAAGTAAATTAACTTTCAAGAAGACTTATACAACTATTTCAATCTTGAAACAGTTCCTCTGCAACAAAAATGTTAGTTAGGATATATGTCATTTTATAAAAAAATGATACAATCACTTTTACATTTTAATAAATTAATTAGGGGAAAAGTCCAGATAACCTATAACCACTTATATTTCAAAGACTATAAGAACTTCACCAAAAAAAAATTCAATACGGAGGAATGAGCCTTATATTTCCAGCAAAAATATTTAAGACTAAATGCATAATCGTGACTATTATAAATTATAACTATAATGAGTTTATATTGATTGTATATTCGAATGCTAAATTTGCAAGGTACCGTAAAATCACCTACATATTTGATAATTTTGCTTTCAATGAAATACATCATGTGATGGTAAAAATATTATTACTAAATTACCTTAATAATTATCTAACATAGTATGTAAACGGTCAGAACATATATATACATTGGAATATTAATTTTGTCTTATAAGAGATGTAGCAAATAAAGACATACCTTTCCAGTTCTTTATTTCACTGGATACAATTGAAAAAAATATTTTAACTAAACATTGCACATAAAGTTAATGCAAAGATATGAAAGTATGAATGGGTTTAGATGGATGTAAAACTTATCTTTGTATTATCATCTAAGACATTTTTCATTGTATTTGATCTCATTGTCTGCTTATAATCTACATAGTCTTGGCGTAGAAGATTATGAAATGAGCAATTCGTGCTGATAACGTGTTATAAAATAAAAGCAATTTAATAAAACATGAATAAGAAATGTTGTTATGAAATAAAAGCAATGTAGTAAAACATGCACAAGAAATGGAGATAGAGAGAATGAAGAGATTTTCTTCTTCAATTGTGTGTATTTTTTTTATCTATTACAAGGCCTTTATATAGGCATGAAAAGTGAAGAAAAGTATGTCATTGAATATGTCATTAAGCATAGAAATATGTCATTGAATATGTCATTAAGCATAGAAATATGTCATTGAATATGTCATTAAGCATTTGAGAAGATCATGAATGAAAAATAGACATCCACCATAATTTAATTTTTCTTATAACAGATCTAAATTTGTGTTCATATTTAGAACATTGAGAGACTAGAGAGTATGATTTTTGATTTGTCGGCAATTTAATGAAAGGAAAAAGAGCAGGACGTGCTTACAGTTGACATTATGTCCGCAGAGTATAACTACCCAAATTCTTATCTAAGTCCTCAAACCGTGCCTTACAACTTTTCCTCCCTCTCTACTCAAAAATCCCGACCCAAACGATCCCTTTTCCCTTTCATTTCTATGGAATCTATGAACTTAGTCAAAGGCTATGGCAAAATTAACCTGTCAGAAGATCCAGCTTCTTCTTTGTCTACTCGCAGAGCCGCCCACAAGCGCCGCCTCACCATCGCCCTCATCTTCACCCTCTTTCTAACTCTACTCATCTGCGCATTGGTCGGCGCGTTTATCCACGCGTCAAATTCCAAAGACCGAACACCATCTGTATCATCCAACTCGGCCGATTTGCTCAAAGCCGTGTGCGCAGTGACTCAGCATCCCGAGTCTTGCTTTGACTCCATATCTTCCCTCCAGAGCAGCCCACCCAAACCCGACCCGGAACAATTCCTGAACCTCTCCCTTCAAGCAACAATTAGAGAATTAAACAACATCTCTTCGCTCCCGAAGACGCTGATCTCGAAAGTCAATGACCCGGGAACAGTGTCGGCGTTGAAGGACTGCGTCAGCTTGTTCGATGACGCGCTGAGTCAACTCAACCAGTCGGCCGAGTTGCTCAAAGTGGGTCCTGGTGAGAAGGCTTTGACGGAGAAGAAGGTGAAGGACATGCAAACATGGATCAGCGCTTCAATGACTGATCAGGACACGTGTTTGGAGGGACTGGATGAAATGGGATCGCCGTTGGTTGGGGAAGTGAAAGCGCGGGTGCAGAATGCTAAAGAGTACATGAGCAACACCTTAGCAATTCTCAGTAATATGCCTAGCCTTCTTCAAAAGTTTGGTATCACTTTGCATTGAGCCTTCAAGCTGTTTCTGTGAGTTGACATTTCAATTGAACACCTTGTACTTTTTTTGCAATTCTTTATCATTGTACCTTCTTTTTTTCTTTTTATTACTGTGTCTTATTTATTATTGCTGGTGTAAATTCATCAAACTAGTTACGTACTAAATTGTAAATTTTGAGTTGTTGTTTTCTTTTTAAAACCACATTTTGTTCATTTTATTAAGATTTTCTTTCACTATCAGTCTATCACTAGTACAATATTAACATCTTCACATCCATATCCAATCATATAAAAATGAACGATGGAGTAATTTTCATCCCAAAAGTGTTTAAATTCATATGTAGACATTATAAAGATCTTTTATACTAAGCCAATTAGAATGGAGCAATGATAAATTTGTCTCATGGTGTAGGTCACAGTTATGAGTCTTGGAATTAGTCACTTTATTTGCGTTAGGGTAAACTACCTATATAACACCCAAAGAGCCTTGGAATTAGCCACTTATATTTACATTAGGGTAGGATGCACCGGCCTTTTTTTCTATTAGAATGAGAAAGACGGTTCCCAATATAAAATCAAGAATTGTGCAACGCCAGTCTGTGTCCTTAGCCACAGCCTAGAAATGTGTTTAAAGCATTTCGCTAGTTTGGGCTCCTGAAATTCTGATTTGTGCAGCTTCGGTTGAGCTTGTTTCTAGCGCTGAAAAACATATTTTCTCACTTTCGGTGTTGCACCAAGTTTATGATTATGATAAATTGAGATGAAAGTATATATTAATTGATCAGAGTTAAGAGATAAAGGCGGACACTTGACACTTTTAATATATTTATTGGTTTGAAGTAAATATTGTGTTAAAGATGCTATTGAAAGTTTGGCGCCTTTTCTCTTGAACCTGGTATGAATTCATAAATCCTTTCACTTCGATCAAACTCAAGTCCTTTTATGTCCCAGGAAAAAGCTAAAAATAAAGCACTAAATGGTTAAGATATCTCACACCTAGATGAGGCTCAGTGCTCAAGATTAACAGACTAAATCAAAAGAGAAAAGGAGAAGAAAAAGAGCAGAAGCTGAAAGAGGGGTTCATTTTCCTTATGCTGCTACTATAGTACTCCACTATTTACCAGACAGAAAGAAAGAGCATGTTTCTGGACCGATGAGTTTTGTTCTGTATTCACTTTTTAGGTGTCATGATTTTCCTTTGCCTACTTGGTCCCCTCCCTCTCGTGACAAAAGGCCGAAGAGTATTTGCTACTAAAAAGCAATCATTCTTTCCTGATTGCGACCAATATTATCACGAATTCAAGCCAAATTTTCCCTATCAGTTGTCAGACTGGAATTCTCCATATTCAATATTTGCAGGCAAAGTAGCATAAAGTCGTTTGTTTGACCCATTTTTTTAGTCGTACGTTCCAGTTACTTTTCTTCTTAAATCACACGATTTTTTGTTCCCAAAAGATTAAATTTCACTAAGTTCTAAGCTAGTAACAATATGATTGTGCAATTTATTTCTTTCTATTTTGTCCATTTCTTTTGGTTGGGGTGAGGGTGATTAGAGGGGTGAAGCTATGTAACATTTCGACAATGTCATGTCATGTTTATCTTATTTTTGAGTTCCTTTGTTGGTGAATTTCAAAAAGTGCAAGTATAGAAAGAGAAAACGTCGTTCCATATAAATTGAAGACAAGTTTAAAGACCACTTTATAAAGGTGGAGCTTTAAATAATACGTAGAATTAATAATTTCTATCATGTGTGTCTCTAACTCCTTCACCCTTAATTGGCTCTTTTTTTCTTTTCATGCACCCTTGGCTCTTGCTCTACCTGAAATATATACAAATTATCCAATATCTGTGTGGAATATATCTTAATTTTATCATGGCTTTGTTATACGCAATGTCCAATCATTAGATCATCACACTTTACCAGAAAGTCCAAGGTTAGCCATATTTTTCCAGCTCAGTGGGATCAACTATCGGATGTTTTTAATTTGTTTCAGAATTACCAACATGAACCAAATACACCAATTAAACATAACTTATATCCATAATACATAAAGATATATATATTTGCGACACGTATAAAACTCTAAGTACCAACCAAGGAGTCGCACGGAATATAACCTAGTGAAGCAGGAAATGGAAATAAAATACTAAAATAAAGGATCTACTAATTAATACAATTTCTTATTTAACAACCACTGAGAGATGCCTATACCCCTGGGGTTTACTTTCTTTTTAAATTTGCTCTTGTAGTGGGGAAGGGGAATGATGGTTTTACTGTTGAAGAAGACTTATTAAAGTGTCTAGAAGATCAACAGTATTTGTGTCCACAGAAGCCAGTATTTGGGAAAGCCTCTCACTGAGATCATCCACCTCATTGTGCAGCATTCTGATGTAATTACACGTCTCCTCTACTATCTTTGGTGCTGGTACCTATCAAAAGTTAAGGAAAAGTAAAAATATCTTAAAAAGTTTGCTAGTTAATGATCCATAAGAAGACACTCTTTGCTCGTAAATCTCTGTTGGGATTTAACAAAAACCTTGGCGCATTTTTTGTCAAGCAAATGGACATTGAGCCTATTTATTTTGAAGGCTAGTCATGAGGCGAGAATTGTTTAAAATAGCCTACTATATATCTACTACTCCTTTGCACGCGCAGGGTTGGACATCTACGAAGACAATATAACATGGGGCTCAATGTTAGATAAATCAAGAATAATAGGGAAGGATCTTACTCTTACACCATGGGAAGAAAACGAACCTTACGCCTAAGTTAAACCCAAATTTTAGCTCATATGAGGTGAGAATTACTCCGGACCATTTTAGGAGACAACAATTCATTTTCTTGATAAAAATTGTAGGACAATCCAACAGTTTTCCAACGACACATTTGGTAAAACATTTCTATACATTAATTCTGTATTATTTCTGTGTGAGCTTAATAATCACCACTTTTTATGACTTACTTGACAAACTTAATGCGAGTTATTTCGTAGTTTCTGCTTACTTTGATAACCATATATGTATTTGTAGGTCTTTCTTATCTCTCTTCATTGTTTCCCCATGCAGCTGTACATTTACAGTACTAGCGGCAATTAAATAGATTGTGCATTCAAGTAAGAAAAATTAATGACAATAGTCCTATACTGCACATTGTCTACCATTATTATGGCAAAGAACTAGACTATAGGAAAAGGAAAAAAGAAAACAAAAGTAAAGAAATAAAAAAGATAATAAATATAGGACGACGTACCGTCGACGTGCAACGTGAAGAGGAATTTGGCAAAAGAGATTGCAGTTTCAAGACGAGATCATTAATCTCATCTTGACTGAATCTTGAACTTGATCTTCTACTGCTAGACATTACTTTTTCTAGCTATATTAACCTAGCTCCTTCACTTGCCTTCTTTCTACAATGATAAGAATAAGCCAAGTGAGAAGTTAAAGCGAAGAGGTTTGATTTGCTTTATAAGGCCGTGTAGGGTGAGGTTTGGACAAAATCTAAAGATAAGACAAAACCACAAAAGAGGTCCCTTCCCTACAAATTTTCCCTCAACAACAACAACATACCTAGTTTAATCTCATTAGTGGAGTCTGAGGAAAGTAGTGTGTGCGCAGACCTTACCCTTATCTTGTACAGACAACGGCATATGCAGGATTTTGGGTGTAATAATTTGAAGAATTGAAAATGAATAAATCGCTATAATGACAAGCGGTGTCATTTTCTATACGTATCCCCAATATTTTCATTTTTCTGATAAATATCTAGGAAAAATTTCGATGAAGCGGTATCCCGTGACACTGCATGATATAAAATGCATATGCCCATATGTACATGTAAAAGAATTTTTCCGATAGATCTTCAACTCAAGTCACAAAAATATCGAAAAAAAAAGGATACAGTAATAAGGAAGAAAAAAAGGAAAAAAGGTTATTGGATGAAGGTACGTGAGGTTATGAATAAAAGAATAGTAGAAGCTACCTAAACCTAAATCAACATTAGAGTGTTTCCATTTATATTAATCTTGACCCAATTATGTGGGCCTTAATTAGGACAAACTATCAACTAATGATAATTTTAAAAGAAGCTCAAACTCACGACCAAATTTCCTAATTTAGATTACTAAAGTCTGAACATTCCATCACTTAATTGGTGAAGTGTACTAAATAAAGATGTTAGTAATAAGAATGCCACCAGAAAGATTCCTTGTCTCTCTCTTCTGTTTTACTTGTTTATTTCATAGTACTTAAGTGGGACTATACCCCTACTCCTGTCTCTACTTTGCCTTCTCCCTTCCCTTTTAGAAATTTTGAGATTTGAGTCACATCTTTCCACCAGCATTTCTAGTTTAACCAAAGTAGAGTATTCTTTTGCAGACAGCACTTATTTTTATTCGTGTTTAATACTTATGTTTTTAGTATATTTATCAACTACTCTCAAATGACTTTGGAACTATCTGTAGACACAAAACTAAAAAGGTGGTGCATTTATGTTATCTCTATATGTATTATAGACATAATGTATGTATATTAACGTTTTTGTTTTTCAGATTGGGAATCAAAACGGATGCTTCTAAAAGACAAAATGAAAGCAATTTTATAAATGTTGATAATGATTAGAGGTTTCGAGACAAATTAAACGCCACCATTGGTTTCTATATATTAGGAACGAATTAACAATTTTGGGGGCCGCTTCTAAAGCTGTCTTTTGTTATAAAAAAAAAATCCTTTAGTGATCTATTTTTAATACAATATTTTTTTAAAATTTTTTACTGCAATCTTAATTAGACTTCTTTTTAAATATTACTATTATTAAAAGCTCATGTTAACACGGACAAGGGATAGTAGCGAACTATAGCTAGCTAGCTAGGCTATAATAATGGATGGAAAAAGTAGAAACTCTTTTCGAGGAAAACAAGGTATATATACGCAAATGATTATTTGTGACCTGAGAGTCTAAGACCACCTGATCTTTGGCCAAGGGATTTGAAAATTTGAAGTGGTTCATTGGTTGTAGCATTGAACTGTCTAATCCAGGTGGACTATGGCAAGGGAGTTGAAAATCTCCTCAATTGTTTAATGTTTGAGGTAACTAACTAGCGAGAAAAGTAGGGTTCAAATAATTTGGTTCGACCTATTTTAGGTTAGGTTTGCTGAAGTTTCTATATTAAGGTTGGCAAAGGTTGAATTAACAATTCAGAATGTCATGGTTAGTTCACCATTGACGCTGTGCCCTTTTTTTTTTTTTTTTTTTTTTTTTTTTTTTTTTTTTTTTGAAATTTTGACTTATAAAAAGAAATAGAAAAGGATGATTGATAGCTAATTAAGGGAGGTGCATGCATTACATATCCAGCATGCGAGAGCTAAAAACCCTACTCATAGAATCCAATGTGAAAATGCATTTCGTAACGTTTTGAAAATCTCGATTTAAAGAAAATACATTTGATGGTAGTCGATCGAGCTTAAAATGCATCTCAGGCTATGATTTGGGAAGCCTAATCACTTGACGTATTCAAGTAATATAATCTTACAAGTGGAATCTGGAAAAGATAGTGCGTATACAGACTTTACCCCTATTTTGTATGAGATAAAGAAGTTTCCAATAAACCTCGTCTCAAAGAAAGAAAAAAAATATTAGTGAAAAAGTTGCATGTTAGAAATATTGGAGAAAGGAAACAATAATGACAACAAGATAATGAGGTAGCCAACACAAAGGATCGATGCAGTGTTAGGTGTTTGTCCTGATTTTCTTACCATATTTGGTTTTCCTATCTCTTGAAGGAAAGAGCAACATATTTACCATAATTGGATTTTCCTTCTTGTAGAAGGAAATTATAAATCTCCCATATTTAGCTAATCCCTTTTCATGTAAGAAAATGTTTGAATTTCTATAAATTGAGGATACTTCTTTCTCATTCAGTAGCATCCACAATGTAGCCATATGGGGTTTGGGAGTCGTGTTTAGGGGGAAAACTTTACGGGACAAGTGTTAGTATGTCACTTGTGTTTGCCTCTTCGTGAGGTTGTTCTCTCGATATTTTGTACTCTCTTTTTATACAGTGGATTGCTCATCTCCGCCGTGGACTAGGTCAATTGGCCGAACCATGTTAAATGTTTGTGTCTCTATCGGAGACTGCCATGAAAGTGCTTGAGCTAAAGCTTGGACATAGTTAGAAGAGAGAAGAGAGACTAAGGAAAATGAGAACTCTTGTATCTCTGTATTGAAGAAGGAAGCTACCGTATTAATATATTGTTCTAAACAAACTAATTCACAAATTATATAATTACCCTCTACACTGTAACTACTTAACTACCCTTGTGTCTATATCCTCAATACTCTCCCTCAAGCTGTGTAGTGTGAATAAGTTGTACACTCCCAGCTTGGACAATAGAAAATCATGTTGTGCCTTCCCCAGTCCTTTGGTTAGTACATCTGCTATCTGTAGGTTTGTAGAGACATGTGCAGTCTGGATTAGGCCTTGTTGAATTCTTTCTCGAATAAAATGGTAGTCAATCTCGATATGTTTGGTCCTTTCATGATAGATGGGATTTACAGCAATCTGAATAGACGCTTTACTATCACAATACAGCTTCACTGGAAGTTTCAAGCCCACATTCAACTCTTTGAACAACCATGTTAACCAGACCACTTTTGCTATTGCATTGGCCATACTTCTGTACTCAGCTTCTGTAGAGCTCCTTGACACTGTATTTTGTTTCTTGGACTTCCAGGAGATAAGAGAGTCACCCAGCTTTATTACAAACCCACTCACTGACCTTCTAGTCATTGGGCAAGTGGCCCAGTCTGCATCACAATATACTGTGAGTTGGTCAGAAGATTGAGATGATAGCAGAATCCCCAACCCAGGTGCATTCTTTAGGTACCTTACCGCCCTCAATGCTCCTTCCATATGTGACTTGTTTGGCTTGTGCATGAACTAGCTTAAGTTCTGTACTGCATAACTGATGTCTGGCCTTGTCATGGTAAGGTACAACAGCTTCCCAACTAATTTCTAATAGCTGCTTGGATCACTAAGCAATTCATCAGCATCTAGAGTTCCATGTGCATTGGCATGATCATATTCTGCACTGGTGAGCTTATGGCATGTATCTAGAGGTGTGTAGGCTGGTTTAGAACCTGCAAGCCTAAGTGTGGCAATGAGATCAAGAGTGAACTTACTTTGACAAACCAAAATGCCATGTCTGCTTCTTGCAACTTCAAGACCAAGGAAGTATCTCATCTCCCCCAGGTCCTTGATCTTGAAGTGATGTTGAAGCACAACTTTGGCATCTTGAATTAACTGAGGAGATGATCCAGTGATTAAAAGGTCATCCACATAGATGAGGATAATGACCAAGTCAGAACCAGACCTCTTACTAAAGAGGGAATAGTCATGATGACTCTGTACAAAACCTGAGGATGAGAGGGCCTCACTGAGCTTCAAGTTCCATTACCTAGAGGCATGCTTGAGCCCATACAAGGACTTCTGAAGCTTGCAAACTCTAGGAGGCTCCCCCTCACCTAGAAGACTAGGGGGTGGAGTCATATACACTTCTTCCAGCAAATCACCTTGAAGAAAAGCATTGAAGACATCCATTTGGTGCAACTTCCATCCTTTCATAGCAACTAAGGATAAAACAGTCCTTACTTGACCATTTTCACCACAGGTGAGAAGGTCTCTTGATAATCAAGACCCTCTTGTTGTGTGTAACCTTTGGCCACTAAGTGGGCTTTGTACCTTTCCACCTCACCTTTGGCATTGTATTTCACCTTAAACACCCATTTACACCCTATAGCTCTCTTGTCAGTTGGAAAAGGAACTAACCTCCAGGTGTGGTTGTCCTGTAAGGCCTGTAACTCTGCATCCATGGTTGCAATCCACTTGGGATCTTGAAGAGCAGCAGCATAAGAAGTTGGTTCTGTAATAGCTGAGAAAGAGCAAAGTGCTTTGAATTAAGGTGGAGACAATGAAGCATATGACATGTATGCAGACATGGGATAACTGGAACCCAAAGCAGTAGAAGGACCAGCTTTTGGCATTCCATGAACAAAGCCATTGAGCCAGCCAGGTGGTTTGGAAGTCCTAGTAGACTTCCTTAATCCCTCTTCTGGCAAATCATGTAAGGGAACCATAGTTGGGTATGGCATCACTACTGTAGGAGGTGATGTGAGGTGAGGCTGTTGTAGAGTCTCAGAAGCTAGATCAGCAGGATTAGGAGCTGAGGAAGCCTCAGGAAAAGGTGGAGGTGCTATTACTGAATCAAGAGCTATCTCTGAGACCTCGGAGGTAGGATCAATGATGAAAGCATCATCTGCATCAATAAACTGCTCAGCATTAGGCCTCCTGCCTGTGGAAGTTGTGGTCTTGAAAGGAAAAGTGTATTCCTTGAAAAATACATCCCTGCTTACAAAAAA